CAGCTGAAATCTTGGAGCAGGAGCTAGGCAAACCTGATATCCAGAGTGTTGACGTCCAAAGCAAGGACCCAGCTGACCTTATTGAGGAAAATGATGGTGTGCATTCTCCTGGTGCTGCACGTGGCCCACTCCCATGTGATACTGAAACAATTGACTTTGAAGGTCAGAGTCAGAAGATTGAGGGAAAAGTTCTGGATGGCCCCAACCAGGATCAGAATTCAGCGATCCTGGACGAGAGACCTTTGGAGTTAGAAATCAAACACGAGAAGGCTCAACAACAGAAAGATGGGTTTACTGGTGCCGAGTCATCAATTACAACTGGGACCAAGGAGATGGACATGGAAAAGAGTTTGACATGTGTACGGTCATCTTCAGCAGTTGAACCTGAGGAAGCAAAGTTGATCACTGGTTTGGAGTTGGTAACAGACGATGAAACAACCAAGGGATTTGGTAGTGCCTCAGCAGAGATGGAGGTTGAACTGAACAATGAGGTTGAGGGAGAATTTGAAAATCCACCCAATGTACAACCTGACACTGATATGAAAACAGCTTCTAATATGCTTCTGCCAGATAGAAATGCTTTCCTTGGGAATGAGTCAGAAACAGAGGAAAATCAAGCAGCCTTTATGAAAGAGTTGGAAGCTTTCCACAAAGAGAGGTTCTTGGAATTCAAGCCACCAAAGTTCTATGGAGAGCCATTGAATTGCCTCAAGTCAGTATTTCTCCTCATTTTTGGGTTTCCATGTAGTTTTCAGAATTTCAGGGCTTTTGGGCTTATTTGTTCATTGCTTTACAAGCAGATTATGGAGAGCTGTAATCAAACTTGGCGGCTATGAACAGGTTTATTGAGTTTGTGCTTAATTTCTTCCATGTTTTATTGTCTTTTGATGCACATGATGTTTGAACATTTGGAAAATAAAGTCATTGTAGTTTCATGAGAATGAAGCACACATGCTTAAAGCAGAAGATTGTGGTTAATTCTTTTATTTAAACTTCACTTATCAAGAGGAATTGGCACCACAGACAATAAGGGAAGCATATGAACATAAGTGTTGTTTGAATGCATCTCAGTAAATACTGGAAAACATCATCTAGTATTTCCTGAAAAAGTGTAAATAATTTGGATGCTCATAAACTTTTCTGCTTCTCGATGTAATTAACTCTTTCAAGGAGGCTGCTGTTCTGTCATTACCCCGGATTTGTAGTAACATTAGACTTGAGACGTTTTTGATGCATTCTGGTGAAAGTTACCTCCTGTTTTATAGAGGGGAATGGCACTAGGCTGGTTTTAGAGGTTAATGATAGTGATTGTGATGGGAATAAATCTATTGCTTTCATTGACCCACTCTATGGGTTTTGTGATGACCAAGTGAATTTGGCACTTTTTGTCTGGTTAACCTCTCCTTGCTGCCCTTTTTTTAAATTATTTTGCAACAAAAATTGACAAACGTTCGCTTTCCTTCCTCTCCCAAACAACACCCCTGTTCCCCACCCTACCTGTTGATAGACCTATCACAGTTATGGTTGAGTTTGATTCGATTGTTGCAACTGCAGTTGTTGTGAGCAAATCAAAACTGGTTGAGTACTTGTGGAGATTCAAGAGACTGATCTGGTGTATTATGGAGTAATGGGTTGAATGGTAGGAAACTGAGTTGGATGTCTTGAGGACTGCAGCTTGTGATTGGGTAATCAATTGTGCTGCTACAAGCGGAGGTGCAGGTGCCAATACAGATGAAGAAGAAGGAAAAACAGCAAGAAAAGTAAAAAATAAAATAAAAATAAAAGATGGACAGCCAAATAAAAGTTTGAATGGCAGAATCATGGACTCCGTCAAAGTCTGCTGCTGATTTTGTGGTCATCAGACTGTTGAAGCAAGACAAGGAAGAAGGAAGAAGACGAAAACAAAAAATAGATAAAATTAACAGGAAAAATAAAGTTAATTCTAAACACATTCCTATAACAGACAATTAACTATCATTGAGCGGGTTTCAACCAAAACCCATTATCATTTTGGTTGAAACTATTGCTATTGCCTATTTGAGTGCCAAAGGGGTGGTTAGAACATCGAACTTGTGATATGATCACCCCTAAAACAACTTTGAATGCCAAGTATAATATTCTTTCTACATGTTTTAGGAGGGATAGTTGGAATGGTTTTGTGATACATATTACATGATTATGCATGTATAACATGTATGAAAAGTATGTTTTGCTGTGCTTGTTTTCCGATTTGTACCCGTTTCAAACAGCTTATCCATTATTGCTTGAGATTTAAAGCTTTGATACTATAGACCATATTTCTTGACTTTTCTTTAGTTCAGAGTTTCTTCACTCTTGAGGAGTTAAAATAAATGTATCATATGGTTTTGTTACCTGAAACTTTAGCAGCATTTTCAGCTCAAGTTAGTTCCCATCGGTAAGATGACTACATTATCAATGGTGTCTCTTTTTTTGGGATTGCAGGTGACTGCTTGCAAGCTGTGGCGGCAAGTTGGAGAATCTTTTAATCCTCCAAAGTAAGGGCTGCTGTTCATGAATTGATTGTAATTGAATGACATCTTATATCATGTTGCATGTTGTCTGTTGCTTAAAAAGGTTTTTTTTTTCACCTAAGATGACACCGGGCATGCTAAGTTTAATACAACTTTTAAGATAACTAGGAAACAAAATTCTGATTGAACTTTAACCTACTCAGCAATCAACTAATTGTGTTATTCGTAATAAGTAAAATGTGTACTGAAAAATTTAATTTTTAAAGAAATGGGAAGAGGAATGGGGGAAACAGTTGATTTGCGTGTGTGTCAATTTGATATTCTTGCCTCTGTATTCTTTATGTTCATCAAAAGTTCCTTTAGGCTTGTTCATCAGAGCCATTGGAACACTGAAGGCCCTAAATTTTTGTGCCACTCTGCTTCATTCTTATCTCCTAAAATCGTTTGCTTGCCCCCAATCCTCAATTATTTATAAGCCTTGGGCAATTAATGGTGAGTAGTTGACCTCCCAAATATTTGTCTTACCACAAATGTTTGCTCTTTTACTGTGGCCATCCTTTGATTGTTCTCCCAGTATTTTTTTTCCTGTTTGCAACAATGAAATCTTATTAAATATCAGTAGGGTTAGACCAGAGGCAGTTGTCCCATTATTACTATCCTCAATTTCCTAAAAGTATTAAGAGATTATCCACATATTCGGATTTTAAGATTACATTTTACTTTTCCTAGTCTTTAATTGCCTCTAAAGCTATTCTCATGTGCATTCTTTTGCTAACATATTATTTTTATGAATTTACTTGGAAGTGTTTGTACTCTTTCTCCTCAAGATTAGTAAGCAAAGTTGCTCTATGTTGATTCTCCCAAGTTTATGTCCACGTCTCAACTTTTTGTACCTTTGAATTGCCTTCAACACCCATCTGTCTTTTGGGCCACACAGCACAGGCGAAAAACAAAATTTTTCAATATATGCATCCCAATAGGTAGAAGAGGTCATTCCTGGGTGAAAGTGTACGAGTTATCGTTCATGAATTGTTGACTATCTCTGTTGAAATTGGTCTTTGGTACATGTGGTTATAATTGTCACAGTGTATCTAGCTCGCCATGTCTTTATTGTGTTTTGATGCTTTTATTCCAATAGCATGAATAATATTCAAAAGATTTCATAACCTCTCCTTTATTTTCTCTGTAACAAGCCTTATCTTCAAAGTATTTGTTCCTCCTTGTATTCTGAATTCAGATCATCATTTGCATCCACATTCAATTTTTGTTATTTCCATTTAATATTTGCCTCTACTTGTTCAAGCATATGCTCTTTTTCCTTCCTATCTTCCAACTCCACTTGTTATTACCATTCAAGTTTCATTTGTACTTGTTAGGTTTGCTGATCTTAACTTGGTCTGCATTTGATATATGCTGTGACAAGTTTAATGTCTGACTAAGAATCCTGAAGCCAGTACTTAGTCGCAAGCAAATAAGTCTTATGAATCACTCAAACCATTCCAACCTTTCCAGTTTGGAATAAATCTGTCTGTGTCACAACGGGGTAGTTTCAGATTTTGTCTTTACAGATCATTATAGTGGATAAATGGTAATATTTTTTAGTGCAAGTTCACTTGAAAGAAGGTCATTGTAAATTAAAAAAAAATTGAAAAGGGATGATATAGGCTTTTATGGATAGCCTTCAGTATACTTGAAATTGAATCCCACTTTCTTGTCAGAGATTGCAGATTCAGCCAATTATAATTTTTTTTAGAGGGTGTAAAACAAAAAAAAAAAGGGATGACAGATAGGCCTTGGAAAATTGCAGCATGGGTGGCAGAGTTTGTGGTTATTTCTCCTGGTTTTTTATTGTGTGCTAGATGTTTTCTTACACTAGAATTGAGCATTTCTTTAATAGATTGAGAAACTTATACTGAGGATTGTATTTATACCTATGCGATATATAGTTTGATTACGCAGTATATGAAATAGATATAGGTTTCTCAATGATGGTCTCTTTGCATGACTTATATAATTGTTCCCTCATGATGTGTTTTTGTTAAGTTCATTTTGTTTGTTGTTGTTTTGGTAAGAGGATCCAGCATTTTCTTTTATAATTGTGCAGGACCTGTACGACAGTTTCCTGGACATTTCGAGGTTTCTATGAGAAGGTAAAGATTAGTTGACTGATTTTTCATTTATTCTTGATGTTATAAGATTTTTTAGGTATCTAGTGTAGTTAACAATTTGCCACCTGATGGGTAAGCTGGTACCGAAGAATTGTCAGGACTACAAGAATTTTGTAGAAGAGCCAAGCAGGGACTAGCTCTATGGCTCCAAAATGCAAAGGATATTTTGGATAGTTGTTGTTGATTACTTCATCTCCTTGCTTTTAATTCTTTGTTATTTCTCTTGTTCTCTGAAAGCCTGTATATGGAAGAGGAGCAGTATCCTAAATTTAACTCATCCTTCTTCTTGTGCAATATAAGCTCCAAAATATGGAGCATGTTCTTCACTGGCCAAGTCATGCTTCGTTAACCTACTGATGCAGAACTATAGAATCATATTTTTTAGCCATGCTATACATAAGCAGCACAGTGGTTGCTTTTTTGACCGATTATTTTTCTCACCATTAAATTAGCATATGCGTCCAGTAACTAATATAGTCTTGACATGAAGGCCAGCTAAGAATCCATAAAACCTTAAATTAGCATATGTGTCAAACAATTTTCAAAAAAAATGGTCAAATGAGAGATGTCAAGGGTTTATGAGAGATGACAAACAGGTAATGAGAGCTGAAAAATGGTCAAATAAAATACCCTCATCTAGTGTGTATCTGAATGCCATGTCTCATCTCGCGTGCATCTTATAGTAACAACTTGCACTAGAAGCAAATAGATAAGTTTGAAAGAAAGGCAAAAAGGATAAGAGCTGTTGATTTTAAGTTTCCACAATCTTGTAAAGAGGACTTACAGTGGGATAGCAAAAAGTGTCAAATGAAAACAGTAATTGCTGGTTTGATATGGTAATGGACCATGAGCATCCGTGCTCATCATACATGGGCCTAATTCCCATACATGCCAAAAAAAATACATCCAAACACTTGAAATGAACTTTATGGTTAACCTAATTGCTGGGTTTCTCTTTTGCCTAAATCAAATGCCCATACTGACATCCCTTTCCATGAATTAACACATCCTTACTTTTCTTACAATATTTCTTTCATATGTTTACCTGTTTCTGTTTCATTTTGAAATTGTTATTTGTTGCTACTGCAGGCACTACTGGAGTATGAAAAGCACAAAATGCGCTGTGGTGAACTTCCTTTTACTGATGCTTCCTTTGTAGAACCATCCGGCGCTGGCAATCAGGTAGTTGACATGTACAATCTTGTTAGTGGTAGAAGTTAATCAGATCAAGAATTGCTATTGTAAAGTTAGAAGAACAAAGCTGGAAGATTGACATTTGCAAGTCATGGATTTGAATTTGTTGAAATATTGTTTTGACTTCCATATCCATCCTTTATAGCCGAAACTAACGCCTTTAACCTTTTTTACGCCAGTAATTGCTGGTGTCATCTTCTTAAATGGCTCTAACTTTAGCTTCCTCATTCTGTTTTGTGTTCTGCCAACTGTTTCCTCACCAAACCAATCTCTTCACAATGCATACATTCATAACTAAGGAAATTTTCATTTGCAGGCAGGTACTAGTCAATCATCAGGATCAGGAAGAGCAAGAAGGGATGCTGCAGCTCGTGCTATGCAGGGTTGGCACAGTCAGCGTCTCCTTGGCAATGGAGAGGTTGGAGATCCGATTATCAAGGTGAGTGTAAGGGTAAACTTTTGTGCCATAAAATACATATACACTTGTTTCTTGTAGTGTCTGGTTGTTCATTGTGCTTTTTCCTTTATGCTGGGTTTGTGATTTGTAGGACAAAAATTTGGTTTCAACACCAAAGCGTGAAAAGCAGCTGAAAAGCGTTGGTAAGAATATAACTGAAGTGTTAGTTTCCTTTCTAGTCGGTAATGTTGAATTCTTTGCTCTGGTTGTTTTAATTTTCATTTGGTTCTCTAATGAAGGTCTGCTAAAACGTAAAAAGGCGTCTCCTGTTGATCATCCTCTCCATGGTGCAAGCATGAAAGTATCGAAACCACAGTTAAGAGCTCTGGATCCATGTGCTTTTTTTTTTTTGGTGACTAGAGAAGCGTACTTGTTATATCGTGTAATGCTGTTAAATGATAGTTTTTCTTCCTTATTCTGGAGTAAGGCCAGTTACCAGTGAACACACAAGGTGACTTCATGTCTGAAAAGGAGTGGGATGCATTATTATAGGAGAAGAATTAGAATTGGAGTTGGAAGATGTTAACATTTCATGAGAGAGTTATTCTTTTATCTTGTTCTATGGTTTCTTTTCTTTAGTTGGCAAAGTACTAGTTACTTCCCCATTTTTTAAATAGAGAGATACTGGTATTTTGGTAATTTCAAAGATCTTATGTTGTATCTGCTTTGGTGGTGGTGACAGAAAGGTATTGAAGAAAGTCCATAGACTCAGTCTTGCTTATTTTACCATCACTAAAGATACAAGCGACAAACTGCATCCTTTGCTTTTTAGCAGTGTTCAATTCATTTGATGAAGAACTGAGGTGTTAAAGTTAGGATATTGCTCAAATGCTGGTGAAATCATGTAATCAAATCCAGAAAAAATATGAACTGTTTAAATTACAGTCTTCAAAGATCTGAATGACAGTGGATGCAGTCAGTTTTAGCTAGAAGAGTTGAGTGAGATCCTTCATCTTGAGCTTCGTGATGGTCTCCCTGGTTCTATTTATATAATCTCATATTTATTCCAGAAGGTCTAGTTGTTTTATTGATTGGACTGGCCATGAGGAACTTGATAAACTAGATTGAAAACATCAATCTGATTTTTTTTGTATTTTCTTGGGATATTCACTAGTGATTACCTGTTAAAAGTGAAGATTATCTTGTTATTAACTATAATGGTGTTTTTTTTTAGTCATGTAATATGAGTTGGAGAGAGAAAGAAAAGGTGAGTAGTCTAGCATCTTGGCTTATTGCCTGTGTCTGTCAGTCTTTCTCACTTACATTTTGGAGAAAAGGTTGTGGGAGTAGATGCAGATTTAAGAGAAGGAATGAATATGAAAACAAGAGCTTCTGTTTCTGTAAAATGTGTGAAAATGTTGGCTAATTCTTAGGTCCTACACTGTTATTCCAAATTCTTTTCTAAATAATCTCCTATCCAAACATAACAAGTATGTTTTCGTTTCCAATGGTTATCTTTGCCTCTCTTGTAATATGGGATTATTCTGGAAACTCTGCAGCAAATCTTATCTTGGGAGGAACTTAAAAACTCAGTTTTCATTTCTCTGAAATCTAAGTGCTTATCATTTAAAAAATCTGTAATTTGAGATCCTGTGAAAATAACACCTTACTTCTTAGATGCTTCAAGTTCTGTTGAACAATTTTTTTCCGACACGACTATTTCTGAAAACCTTGTGACTGACCTTGATGTAAATCATTTTAAAGATTTCAAAGGAAGAAGAACTGGAGTAATACATAGAAAGTTTTGCCCACTTTTGCTAGAAACAATTAGGCCTCTTTGTGCAGTAATGATTTATTCTGAAAAGTGTCTTTCTTATCTTAATCAGTTCTTTTTAAGCAAAAATTTGAACTTTTCAAGTTAATTTCTTGTCCCGGTTAAGGTTTACATGTTCTATTGTATTGGGCATAGACTGGATATCGGTAGTTGATATTTGTCCGTAGTGAAATAGCACTTTAGCTTGTGATCAACAGATCAAGTTACATTCCTTCAGCTCGAGATTTATGTCTTTTTTTTTTTTTTGGGGCATTAGACTGGATACGATGGTGGTAGATATTGGTAACCCGGCCGACTGGGTGAAGATTAATGTACAGAGAACAGTAAGTTTTTTCTCGCAACTCTTGCTTGGCCTCTTATATCAGGTATTCTGGAGTATCTCATGCATGAAAATTTAACTTTTTTTGTAACATTGATTGTACAGAAAGACTGCTTTGAAGTATATGCTTTAGTTCCTGGGCTTTTGCGCGAGGAGGTAATTGAAGAAATATGTGCCGTCTCTCTCTGTCGGAAAATCTATTGCTACTTTTTGCCATTTGTGTTCCAGAAGTATCACTTCCCGGTCAGGGGCCTGTATTTGAAATGTCATCTAGAATGGCTGGTCAGTTGATGAAAGAGAAAAAATATTGAGCATGAAAGAGTAGTATGAGATGTTTTCCTTTTGTGACTGGATTAAAACTCCTTTTCTTGGCTTCTTGAGAGTGTGTTTCCGTTGCTTATTTGGATACTGCTATGCTCACTTATGTGGATCTTCATGCTTCTGCTAAATTCTAGTTATTAGAATTTCACTTACTCAGAAGCATTGTGTTCTGCCAAAGTGATTTTTTATATTGTCTCAGAAGTGTAGTGCATGACATCTGACGTTGAATATAGAGTCCAACAAACAATCTTCTGATCATTTTAGTTTTGCTCTCATATGAAAACCTTTTTCGCTTTTGTACTGTAGCCTGGAAAACTATCCATTCCGGTGGTTTTATATTTTTATTGAGGCAGTTGTAGCTGATGATTATCGGTCTTCAGGGGGTTCAAAATTTGAGGCTGATTATGAACTATCTACCTGTTTGATGGTTTGCAATTCATAGTGCTTCAGTTACCTTTGTGAGCTTGCTTTGTATTAGATGGGCTTATTCTTGATTAAAACCAGGTGCGGGTGCAATCTGATCCTGCAGGCCGCTTAGTTATATCTGGTCAGCCAGAACAGCTGGATAATCCTTGGGGAGTCACTCCATTCAAAAAGGTTATTTTTGTGTCTCTCATAATTATTCGTACGATTAAACCTCATTATTGCTGTATAAATAGTGCACAGGTTGAATTCATTTGATAACAGTGCATGTATAGTTGGGTGTTTCTGCAAAATCTGGTGAGGCCAAATTACCCTTCTCTCTCTAATGTGCGTTCGGGTAGCAGGGAACTGATGAGTGAGCCAGTGTGTCAATGTTTATCTGCTGATAGGACATTTCACTGGGCTAGGAGTAGCATGTCTACAGAAGAAAATTTTGCTTTTGTTATGTGTGCTTGATACATGGAATAATGTGACAGATAAAGTTGTTCCTGTACCAGGTAGTCAGCTTACCATCCAGGATAGATCCTCATCAGACATCTGCTGTGGTTACCTTACATGGCCAGTTGTTTGTGCGAGTACCATTTGAGCAGTCAGACACCTAGAATGTGGAAAAGGTACATTGAGCTCCATTTGCTCTGTCTGGTTATCTGAAGACAGAGAGAGAAGGAGAGATTGTTGGGGGAAATGGAGCTACGGATGTCAAATTTGCAATGAAAGTTTGACTTTGTACTGCAAGCTCACAATGAAGCTTAAAGTTTTTTTTTTTTTTTTTTTGTCTTAAGAAAAAAGAAAACACTTGCTGCTGTTTAACGTAAGCTTTGCGGCTGAATTATCTTTTGTGTAGATACTATCTACTTACTGTAGGTTCAGTATGCTTAACTTTTCCGACCCTTCTCTTTGCTGTCCGGTTCATGTGGTTCCTTTAGTTGGACCTGTACATTTTCGTTGCCAAACATACATGCTTGCTATCATTTTTCTTCGAAGATTTGAGTATTTCTATCTGAATTTATGTTCTTTAAATTTACTCCCTCGGTTTGAAGGTCTAGTGCATGGTCCCCTTGTTTGCAAAATATATTTCTACTAGTTCGATGGGAAGTATGACTGATACAATTACTGAGGAAAGAAGTACTTGATATGGGATAATATGATACTTGCTATGCTCAATTTTTTTGTAAGTACTCCATTAATTACTACTTTTCAGTTGCAAATATATCCGAGGACATGCTTCCTTGCACCACAAAGCACGCCGGCTTCGCCGGGCAACGTTTACAGCAGAGTACAGTTACCCGACGAAGATGCTAAGTTGTGTATTTGTCAGTTTTATAGTAAGTATTCTTTATCAAAAGATCGAAATACGGAGAGAGAGAGAGAGAGAGAAGAAGAGGGGGGTTGGAGGAGAACTGAGAAGGGGAGTGGTTAGCGGGGAAAGAAAAGGACGTTAGACTTTAATCACTCCACAATATACTATCTAATCCTACTGAGCCGTCCTTTGACGGCTTTACTTTTGCAGCAGTTGGGGTACAGTTTACATCTGTCGTATGAATTACTTGCAACTTTTCTTTCCCGGATGCCATCCAATAAATCCCGGATTTTGGGAGTGGGGACGATGCTATATTTCAAGCGCAAGAATCTCGCAGCTTTTGTATAAATCAAATTAGAAGCAGCGGAGATCTGTAGTGGTACAAGTTTTTGGTGCATGTACTACGTGCTTTTCATGGAAATTGAAAACCACTACCTCCTCCTCCTCCTCCTCCTCCTCCCCCTGAATTTGTGTTAGCCTTAGGTGGATTAATGGCAATCCATAGTAGTGAGAGCGTGATGGCAATAAGTCCCGACCACACAAACACAATTGTGGGTGTCTTCCTTCTCCTTCCCATCAAGCCTTTTGCAAAAGGATACAAGTGAGCTAGAACCCAAAAGCTGAAGAAGGCTCCGCCAATGAACTTGCTCCACTGGGGTTCTGCGCTATAAATTGTCCTTGAAAATGCCACTATCATTGCTATTATGTTCACCATCCCGATCACAATAGGTGGAATCATCAAAGAAGTCCATTTCACCAAGTACAAATCTGCATAGATATCATCATTGTCCTCTCCAGCAGACTTGGAAGTAAGTGTGAAAGATATCTCGATCCCTGCAATCACTTTGAGGAGACCTTGCATCACTGCAGCCAAGTGGGCACTGGTTCCACCGATGAGCCAGAACTGCTCGTTTCTCCACCAATCTTCTAATCCTATTCCAGACCATTTTACTTCCAATATTGCCAATGAGATCAGGCATATGGTTATAATCAGCAAATAGACCAAGAAAACCACGTTTAAGTTTTTCACGATAAAGTGTCCGGAAAGGAGTGAGAGGGCAGGAAGGAAACAGTAGACAATAAGGAACAGAGAGGTGAAAGGATAGATGCCGACATTGAGATAAGCTAGGCGCTGGAGTAACTTCAAGCGACGGGAAGCGAGGAAGGCATTGTTCCTAGAAAAGAAAATCTCCACTGAGCCTGTAGCCCAGCGGAGGACCTGATGGAGCCTATCTGTAAGATTAATTGGAGCCGATCCGCGGAACGCATCACGCTTGGTGATGCAGTAGACGGAGCGCCAACCGCGGTTGTGCATGCGGTAGCCTGTGACCACATCCTCTGTGACTGAGCCATAAATCCAACCAACCCGATCACCCCACTCTGTCTTATCTTCATACCTAGAGAACGAATAAGAGGAGGGTAAGACACAACTGGAGTGTGTCGCAAGAGGATATCATATAACCTATCATCATGTTTGAATTCTCAATTTCGCATTGTTTTTTTTTATTATTCAATGGATGTCTACTAATTGGACACAGCACACTGAAAAATGGTTGGCATTTGCGTTCCTTCAGATTTGGATATTGAATGTCACTAGCACTACTATTATATTTGATGCCATCTATATTAATTCGTTTTAGTTTTGCTAACTTGAGAAACCAATTTAGGATAGCCGTGCATGTATTCAGCAGTATTGATCTATATTGAAGAAAACTTACCAACAAGAAATTACAGATACAGCTTCAGCCACAGTAGCAGCATCAAGTGGTTCACGGGGAACTCTGAGAGCACCAGGTGGTCTTCCGAACTTGACAGCAGGATGATCAGCAATCGGGCGGCCTTGGAATTCAGCAACAGGTATAGATTCAGCAAGCATTGTTGAATTTCCAAAACGTTTGGGCAACAAATTGACGTCAAGATCAGGATCGAAGTCAGTGGCCTTCAGGGCTTGGGTCTCACTACCCTTTTGGCTCATCGTGCTAAATTGTTGAGGGGGATCAAAACCATAAAGTGCGAACCGCCTAAACATGCAACCGGTGCCCACATAAACAGGTCCCTAAATGCATGGGACATATGTAATTGGTGACAATGGGATAGGGATCATCATTTGCAGTACAAAAATCTTTGGGATTCTCTATAAATGCTAACCACTGCATGTTTTATTTAAATTTTTATAAAAAAAAAAAAAAAAACACAAATGAAACGATATGACAGAACGGATGTAGGAGAGAATAACCACCTGTAGGCCATCGAGTGCACGCATATTACCATCAAAAAATACTGTGTTGTGATTTGCATAACGATCAGATGGATCAATTCCTTCAAATCTTTGAGGAAATTGTATATAGCAGATGTCTTCACCTCCCCTATCCATCATGAAGCACATCCCCTCCCGAATAGCCTTGCAATTATAGAAATAGTGGTCGCAATCTAGGTTGAGAATGAATGGTCCATTAGAGAGTATGGCTGATGCTCGAACCAAAGCATTCATGGCTCCAGCTTTCTTGTTATGATCATACCCCGGTCGCTTCTCTCGGGAGACATACACAAACATGGGTAACCGGATGTCCACGTCTGAAAAATCTAGGATTTTGCCTTCAGAGTCTCCCATCAGCGGATCACTACTGGGAGGCTTCAGCATTACCTGCAACCGCCATACTGTTTGATTACTTGGGGCAAGGCCATATACTGTTTGATTAGTGGGATTAGCACATTAATCGGTTACATACTAGAGAAAATTGACATAGGAAGTTACCTGCAAGATTCCTGCATGATCACCTTTAGCATGATCGCTACTAGGAACAGCCCAGGTACCAGGCCAATGGGTGCCATCAGCCATCCAAGTGGCCTTTTGGACCTTAACAGGCTCTAGGGGATCCGCCCCACCCTCTCTCAAGTGCTTTAGCATCTTCATTTCCTCTCTGGCATTGAAGGCATCGGATCTTCTCCTTATGGAATCGGGCAATCCATTGATCCTTACCTTCAACTCATCATATTCCCTCTTAACCCTTCTCCGATCCTTGACAAAATCGGATCTCTTCTTGTTCTTGGTTGGGTCACCCTTCAAACTGAAATAGGTTTCTGGGTTCCTAGGCTCAATGTCGTGTTTCTTACAAAATGGAACCCATAAATCGGCAAAGCTGGCAGCCTCGGCCATTGCCTCAAATGTGAGGAGAGCACCGCCATCATCTGAAACATAACAGGCAACTTTCTCCACAGGGTAATCAGCAGCCAGGATAGATAAGATGGTGTTGGCGGTGACGAGGGGCGGCTCTTTCTCTGGATCGGCCGTGGAGACAAATAAGTCCACTCCGGGCAAGTCAGAGCGACCGGTAGGATTGGAGGGCGACGGCAGATCAAATTTATCGCGTAAAACCTCCAGGTCTGTAGAGCGGTTGACAGGACACAGCTTGGGAAGTTGATCCAAAATCCAGGAGAAGGCAAACCAGACCTCGCACGTGACGGACATCGCCCACAACCAGATGGCGTCGTCGTTTGGATGTCTCAACCTCCAGGTTAGGAAAAAGGCCAAAATCACTAGCCGAACCGCAATCAGCAGCCTGATCAGGTGGTCAAAATTAATGATGATCTTTTTAAAATTTCTCCATTACTGACTTGAATCAAATCAGAGAGTATATGTTTGTACCAACTGTGCGGTGGTTTACACAGTTAGCGGTCTGGCCTCCATGCATGATCCATGCAATATTACTTTTTAAAGAAAACATTCTGAGATTATGATGGTTGAAGTTACACTAGAAACTTAAATATGACTGATTGCACAATACGAAAATAATAATAATAATAGGAATATATACTCGGAACATCATATCATATCATATAAAGTCCGTAATGTTAATTATTGTACGTAAGCTCACTGCTGCAAATGACACCCAACCAACCTGTATGGGCTAATAATGCCTTGCGGAATTGGCAACCTCCGGCTCAGAGGCCTCCAAGGTTTGTCGGACGGATCCAACATACCTCTTTGCATTCCATCGCCATGGTCATCACCATATCCATCATCTTGAGGCCAATACGCATTTCCGTAACCATACGTGCCCTGGGTCTCAAAAAGCCACTTATTGTGATCGAACTCTCCGTTTTGATTTCTCTTCATCATGGACATGCGGCGATCTGCTTTGGGGTCATCCGGGGCAGGCAGCGACAAAGCTCCACTGGAAAAATCTGGTACCTCATCTTCATAATCCCCAACTTTGTACGGCTCCTTGCACCCTGGACATAAACCTCTTTCTTTGTGGGCGTCCATGTAGCAATCCCTACAAATCTTGAACCTGAAAGCAACAAACATGTGTAATTTTAATTATGTACCGTACGTTTTACGCACGCAATGATCCATGCATACGCTGCTACTTTGGACATTTGTCATTTTTCTTCTTGATTATATACCTGCATTCGCAAGGAGTTATGTCATTTCCTCTTTCATCCTTCATAACCTTGCCATCGCAAGCAGGCATGGCGCAGGACGAGCCTTTGGATCCTGCCATTTGAGGATGGCTTACTTTTGACTCTATGACCTTATCCATTAGGTGGGCCCGCGTGACGCTGTTGAAACCCCCAGTAAAGAGTGAATTGGAGACGTATTGCTCCTCAGCTTTTGCAGCCACTGACGGTGTAGTTGATGCGTCCATTGGTTGGTTGTCAGGTGTAGGGGGAATGTGGACT